ATGGAATAAACCCACAATAAACATGCAAAGCAAAACAATAAAGAGATTTAACGTACGGGGGTTGGTTATGCAAAAGGAAGGTACTAGCACCCTAAGCATCCGTAGTACTCTACAAAAACCTCTTGAAATATTTTGTTTTTGGCTAAAAGTATTTGCTGAAAAAAGATTGGGGAGATGAGAAAATAAGTGTTTTATTATTGTTTTTTTAATTTTGAAAGACATGAAGTCTTATGCCTACGTACCAATAAAGGATCAAAATCTCGTGGTTCAGGGTACAAATAATAAAATAGTTTGTTTTGGTTGATTTTAATGAAGAGACATTTTATCATCTTAAGGAGAATACTTAACTAATCAACCCAAAATGAGAAGAGGGATCTTTGAATCATCATGAAGGAAGAGCTCCAACTTGAATATAGAATCTACAAGTATGCCACTAACTCCTTCACATGGAAAAGAATCAACATCATTTTCGAGCATTGCTATGGGGATAAGAGATTTATATCTCAACTATAGAGATGAATCATGTCTAATCTCTTGAGAAAAGGTTTTAAAAGGGAAAGCCAAATGGAAAAAAAGTATTAAATGAGATTTGTGTTTTTTAGTCTCATGAAAAGAGTTGATATGCTTAAGATGTCTTGAAATATTTATAAAATAAAGTTTTGAAAATTCAATGACCTAAGTCAAAGTTTTTTTTGAAAGAGGTTCAAGTTTAAAAATGCAAACCTAAGGGTAAACATGAATCAAATGATGGGTAAAGGATGCAACAAGACACACAATGGACATGCATATGACAATAAGTCAATATAATCTTTTTCCTTTGGATTTAAACACAAACACAAGTATCATGTAAGAAGTAATCAAGGACCAATAATATATATCAAACAAGGTAAGGGAAGATCATGCATCATAAAGATAGTATTCAAGGATCAAGCAACACAAGACAAGTTTTAAATATTAAAACAAAGACTCCTAAGCAAATCATAACTCAAGTGCAAATCATGGACTTAAATGGGAGAGGATACTTAAATACAAGACATGCTTTAGTCACAAGTAGGAAAATAATGACACATAGGAGCAAAAGATATCATAGTGAGAGAACACTCAAAATGAAGCATCCAAACTGGATCACATGAGCATATTGAAGGTAGGAAAATACTTAGAAGGGGGGGGGGGGGGGGAGGGGGTTGAATAAGGGGTTTTCAAAAACAATTATGACAATAGAAAATAACAAGTTATTTTTATCCTGGTTCGTTTGAACTCAAACTACTCCAGTCCACCCGGCCAAGGTGATTTCGCCTCTCTCAAACGAGGACTTAATCCACTAAATTAAAACTTGATTACAGTGATATCCACTAAGACAACTGTCTTAGTCTTCTCAAGAATCCTGACCACAACTTGGTCTCTTAAGGAACTTTTACAAAGAGTAAATTACAAATGTGTTTAAGGTGCTTCTAAAAAGCTATTATCACAACTGTGATCTTTACACAAATGAAGAACAAATAAAACTTAGTGTTTTATGCAGAAAGTTGTTTGAATGTTTTCTTTGGTTGTTTCTTTGAATTCTTTCTTTCAAAATGATGTAGCAAATAATTGTAATTGAAGTGTTGATGAAGACTTCTTTATATACACCACTTTCTCAATAGTGTGTAGAAGAAAGTATTGTAGGATGTAGACAGGAAGGACAAATACTTTTCATCTTGATTTGACATTCCCTTTTTGCCTGAAATCCTGTGTCATGCACGAATGAGAAATAGTACCGTTGGTAGACCTTGGGTTTAGGTTTAGCAACGTCTCTTTCTTGAACACTTCCTTTTCAAATAAACATATATGAAAATAATCTTGCATCAGATCCTCTGATGTTGTTTCTTCTTCTTCTTATCAAAGTCACTCTTTCAGAGTCTTGCAACAAAGTGCTTAGCGTGAATAATGATCAGAGTTAACTTGATTCAGAGCCTTTGTACTTGCAGCGTTCAGTTCTCAGAGTCTTCTGAATATTCTGAGTCTTTATACTCTGCACTCAAAATCTTCAGTAGGATAGCGCTTTCCGAGTCTTCTTCAGCAAGCGCTTCAGAGTCTTCTGTGTTGCGCTTCAGAGTCTTCTGCAGTTGCACTTCCTACGCTCAGAGTTTAGCGTTATATTGTTCAGAGCTTTGCTTTAAATCATGTTCAGAGGAATTCTTTGTCTTCAGATGAATATTTTATTTGATATCTGAAACAAAAACACTTGAACAAAATTAGAGTATATATTTTCTTATACAAAATTTCATTAATGTTATCATCAAAACAATGAGATATATTAAGAACCAATATGTGTTCTAACACATATATACTATCAAACTATACAAGAGACATGGCAAGGCAAGCATGAACTCATTTAGAAATAATTCAATAATCAACATAACCTCACAAGAAAATATCTCAAGTAACCTCAAGTTAAAACCCTAATCATGCATCAAGATTAAACATCTCAAGTGTATTATGAAAAGTTCATGTATTAAGAATCAACATCCTAAAGCAACCCTCCAAGTCTCAAAGCAAATCATCAATACATGGAAAAGGTTTACATCAAAGAAAAAAATTCAAATCACTATGGTTCATGCCTCTAAGGCTCATGCATTAGGGTTTCAAACCAAGATACCAATCAAAACAAAAAGTGACCAAACATTCATGTATCTCAAACATAGCAAGGTTAAATCAAAGCACAAACCAAACAATCACATGGGCATATCATCATCAAACATCAAGCCTAAACATCTCAAAATATCAACCAAATTTCAAGTCTTTTTAGTCATTACAAAGAGGTATCAAGTGAGACTCAACAATTATCAAATCAAAACATCAAAGATATAGTATTGAAGAATCAAGAATGCAAAAGGTTTAAAGACACAAAAAGTTATCATCACATAAAAATCCATATAATTCGCTCTTAATTTGACAATAAAATTTCATCACATTAATTTTCTTCTTATTCACCAAAATATAATTAGATCCAAACATAACTAGATTCAAACATAATATCCATACATTTCATTTTTAACCAAACAAATAAAAGATATTGTGGTTGCGAGTTATGATGGAAGAGAGGATGATAGAGGAGTAGGAAGGGAGACACTGGTTCGAGAAAGGAATGACGACACTAGTTAGTTGGACTATGAAATTGTTGAAGTGAGGTATGAAGTATTTAAGAGGTTAAATATGAAATGACTAATAGAATTTGAATGAAATGTGAAAGATTTTCTTCAAAAAAAGAAAGAAATATAAAAGACTAATTTTTAAGAAGATGAAAAGATAAGGTATAATAATCTAATGATATTTAAATGATTTTTATAGTTTATTAATAGATATGGATATCCGCGGGCACATATATCATTAAACTTGTATCCATGTCCATTGACAAACGTGTATTTAAAATATCCATTTATATGGATATACATTAAGCTACCCACCTCATATCCGTGACACATTTTATCCGCGGGTACATATTTTTTTGTCATCCCTAATATAGATAGCTTACACACAATAAATTAGGTGGTGTGCTGAAAATGTAATTCCTTGTGTCGAAGCCAGTGTAGCTCGACAGAAACAAGAATGTGTCGAAATTATAAATAGAGAGAGAGTAACCTCTAATTTTGGATTTTAGCTTAGGGAATGGGGTAGCTCAATTATAAATAGATGGAGTAACCTCTATTTTGAGTAATAAGAATAGAGAATAATATTGTAACACACAATAGAAAATACAGTTGCACAATTGAATAATATTTTCTCAATTTGATAGTAGAGAGGTACTCTGCAAAAATCATTCTCCTCTTCCCTATTTTGTCAAATCCTAATGTTCTTCCTTATTCAGTTTTCTTTCTTCTTTCATTAACAATTGCTACGCAGAATCATTCTTGCAATCAATGTGTGATTGTTTCACTTGAGTGAAGAGTGAAAAGAAAGGGATTTTGATTGGTTGATTGAATCTTATTCTATCAAGATTGATTCGAAATTCTCAAAGTTTTGGCTTAATTCCAACCATTTATAGTAGTGATAGTACTTTAAAATGTATTATATTTAAAATAATATAATTTTTAATTTCATTTATAATAAATATTATGAAGTTTTATTTTAATTTTTCATACTAAAAAAAATCGTTTAGAATCGGATAGCTCGAATTCCATCTAATGCCGAGTTTGGATAGTAATTTTCAAATTCATATTACAATATGATTTTTTTAGTCCAATTTTAAAAAACCCGAGGCCCTCAAGCAACAAGTTGTTTAGAATCGGATAACCCATTTTAATAGTTGTTTTTTAATATTTAAAAATGTTGTTGAATTTTATAAGAAAGTAAGATGGAGGGAGTAATTGAGAAATGAGAAAGTATTGTGTTAGTGAGAATGTGTATATGGACAGTGATCTCTTGTCCTCACCACTATCTGACACACACAAACTGCTCTCTCACTAAATGGCGTAAACTGGATGCCTGATAGTGCAAGCAAAGCAAACCAAACAAGTTACTTTTTTCCACTCTAATCTCTTTCTTTCTCTCTCTCCACCCTTCCTCTTTGTCTCTTAAATTCTGCTTTATTTTGTCCCAACACACCACTTCACTTCACCTCTATAACCTAAGCTCTTGTTTAGTCCTTACTTTCTTCCTTACATCTTCTTCCTCATTTCCTCACTTTTTTCTCTATAATCTCTCTTCATTATCTTCCCACTGTTTCTCTGTCTCTCACACACTTTTGAAGACAGAGAGAGAATATAATACCCAGGGTAGGAAAGTGTCTTGTATGGCTAAAAGGTTTCTGCAGTGAACTATGCCCTACTAATTAATTCTACTTGTCACTCTTGTCTTGCTTTCTCTTGTTAATTACCTCAACATTATAATTAACTATTCTATCAACTCAAAACCATCTTCCTTTTCATAGTAACAATATCATCATTTTTGGCTGTTTCTGTGTTTTGTTTTGTTTTTGGTCTCCAAAGAACAAACAAACAAACTCCAAATTATAGAAACTAATGGAACTTTCTAGCAGCCAAGATGGTGAAATCCAAATCCCATCTAATAATTATGTTGCTACTGGTGTTAGTGTTAGTACTAACGGACACGGTCATCATCACATGATTCATCACCACCATCCTCCTCCACCACCACCACCACCACCTCTTGTACACCACCACAATAACATCGTAACATCTTCCTCAACCGCAGCAGTAGTGCTTCAGAGTACAAACTCTACTGGTGTAGAACTAGATCTTGAACAATCCTCCTACAAGAAAGCGTTATCACAAGTGGTGGTGAAGTACAGAGAATGCTTGAAGAACCATGCAGCTGCAATGGGAGGAAATGCTACAGATGGTTGTGGTGAGTTCATGCCAAGTGGCGAACAAGGTTCCATAGAAGCACTCAACTGTTCAGCTTGCCATTGTCACAGAAACTTCCATAGAAAAGAAATTGAAGGTGAAACTGAGGAAGAAAACTACCAACACAAGCATAACTCACCTTTCGGCTTCAACTTTAACCGACAACAACAACATCACAGCATGAGGAAATTCATGTTACCTCTTCCCGATCAACCTCTGGGCCTGGGCTACCACCACCATCACACTACTCCCAACTCTACCTCAGCAGCAGATATTCTTCCTTCTAGAGCTGTAGCAGCACCGCATGGACACGGGCACATCATAATGCCTTTCAACTACAACCTACCTTCTGAATCTGATGAACAAGAAGAGCATGGTAGAACACAGAGTCAGCAGCAACAGGTAATGATGAAGAAGAGGTTTAGGACAAAGTTTACACAGGAGCAGAAGGAGAAAATGCTGAACTTTGCAGAGAAAGTAGGATGGAAATTTCAGAAACAAGAGGAATCTCTGGTGCAACAGTTCTGTGCGGAGATTGGAGTAAAGAGAAGAGTGCTCAAGGTTTGGATGCATAACAATAAACACAATCTCGCTAAGAAACAGCATATTGATATTACCACTGATAATCTTCCAACTCCTTAATTTAATATTATTATTATTAGTTAATTAAATATGTGTCTGTATTTGTTGTGTTATTCTAGTTTTGCATAACTTAATTAATTAATTAATTACGTACTTGAGTATTTATTTTGAGTTTGTGAGGTGAGGGCTCATCATCATGCATGTCTTGAGGTGGATTTGTTTGTATTACTAATAGAACACAATTACATAATACCTTTTTCTTTTCTAACCGTTTATGTGATTAATGTTATTCTGTGTGCACTTTTTTACAGAAACATCGAGTTCAAATTCAATTCACTAACTGTTTCATATAGAATACCTTTTGCATCTTATTATTTTTGAAACACAGTTTTATTTTAATGATAATTATATATACCTTTTGGTAAAGAAAGTATAGAGACAAACTTTTAAACTACAAAAGAATTAAATATTTAATTCATAAATAAAGTTTCAAAAAAGTGCACATTCTCCCATGTAAAAAAAGTAACAACGCTCAATTTCACAAACGAAAAATAATATGAATCCACTAGAACCTAGTTAAAAGCTTCATAGTTCTATCTTTGTTCGTGTGAGCAATTAAACCTTATACAATGCTTAAAATGTTAAATTTCTAAAATATTTTTGATGTCTTAAAATTTTTTGGGGAGATGTGACATCTTATATTAACTAAAATCTCGTTGTTTCTATTGAATAATCTTTCTGATGACTGTTAAAATTTATTAAATAATTCTATATTTAATCTATAGGTAAAAACTAGGAACATGTGCATCCTTGTTGGAGGCCCTGCACTAAAGGCAAACATCATAAACATCTCTTGACACAAAGTTTTGGGGTTATTGGTAGCAATTCAAACTTTCATGAACATCTCAAATGTTAAAATCCATCCATCACTCTTCACAATTGCAAAGATTTGTCTTCATAAGTTCATTCACTTGTAGGTACACACACATCTCTTTGTCCATCCAAACTTTCATCACCATTCCAAAGATTTTCAATGGTACATTTCATCAATTACCACCAATTTTCTATTTACACAAAATAATTACAATTAAAAAAACAAAAACACTTTTTTTAATGAGAATATAGTAATTGCAATCTTACTTTATTAAGTGTGACGAGATTTATCTATATCTTTCGTCAAATTTAAAACATTACACTGTATTTTTAATTGTACGCCATTTAGAAGAAGAAGAAAAAATTGTATTAAATTATAAGTCGTTTTACAATCTCCATAAATAATAAATATTATTTTCTCTAATATATCTTTAAATATTATTATAATTTTTTTTTAATTTATCTTTTTTATATCATTTATAAAATTTAATTTTATACTTTTTAAATTATCTTTTATATACATTTTTTTTAATGTCTGAGAATATGACATACTAGTAACACTTATAATATAAAAAAAAATTATGGAGTAGTTATCTTTAAAATGGGATTCTTCTGGTTGGGGTCTAGAAGAGATCGTTCAAATCACACCCGATCCAAAGATGTCATAAGAGGATGCAGGGCGCATGAGAGAAGCTCCACGTAGCTAGTATGTCAGCTGACCCGACTAGTGTCTCTAAAATATGACATAACATCAAGTCGTTTGTCGATGTGTCAGGCTACATACGACAAGAAGTAACGTACACTATCACAATTCTTTTATAATAACAACTATTTCTAATAAGTGAGAATTGGTCTCCCCTGTTAAATTTGTAATTCTTTGTGTCAAAGTCAAAATAGTGTATTTGTATTCGACGAGTGTCGAAAGGTGTTTTAGTGTGTGTAAAATAGCATGCGTCGAACTGAGTCTGTATTAACTGTATTTGACAGAAAGTCAAATATAGTTTGTCGAAGCACGTAGTTGTCGAAAGAATCGACAGAGTCAAAATAGATTAACTTAGCTTAATTTTATTTGAGTTAGTTATTTTGTGATTACTTGGGGTGCAAGTAATATCATCTATAAATAGAGAGGAGCTTTATTTTATTTGGATGTAAGATTCGGTTTTGCAATAGCATTGTGCGGTTTAAAAAATCGCAGTTGTGATTAACACAATTTGTAACAAACATCTTGGGTGCAACTTGCATAGTAATACCTTTGTATTCTTCCTCCATAATTTTTTTCCCTCTCACTTTCAATTGTCTTATTTTCTTCTTTCAATTCTCTATGTTGTGTAGAATTATATTGCAACCAAAGAGTGGTTGTTTCACCCGAGTGAAGGGTGAAGAACAAGAGGTGTGATCAATCAGAAAGATTAATTCTTGTTCATCTATAGCATTGGTTGTGTGATCTTTAGGATGCGTTGAATCACAATGAATCATCCAAACATGAATTTTCCAACGAATCTTTCAATCTTGAATTGTAAGAATTATGAAAATTAGTGTAAGAAGATGAAAGTCGTTTCTTGTTATAAAGATTTTTTTTGGAATCTTTTAAAATTTGAGTAACACCAATTAGAGAGAATGATACAGATGAAGAAAAGGTTGCACTCAAACACTTGAAGAAGAAATATTACAAGGTTATCTTTTTAATCCATCAATGTGTTGATCTAGACAACTTTGAGAAAGTTGGTGATGTAGATTCAACAAAGGAAGCATGAGACATCTTGAAAAAATCATTTGGAGGTGATGAGAAAGTGAATGAGGTAGGTTACAAACACATAAAAGAATGTATGAATTGCTTCAGGTGGAAGACAATGAAAGTGTGACTGATTTCTTCACTAGAGTAATAAAACTGGTGAATCAAATCAAGACGTGTGGAGAAATGTTAACATCAAAATATGTAGTGTCAAAGATTTTGAGGTTATTGGCTCTAAAGTTCGATCATGTAGTATTAGGCATAGAAGAATCAAATGATTTGTCAATAATAACAAAATAAGAGCTTCAAGGGACGCTTGAATCTCACGAATAAAGAATGGATGAAAGAACTGCAAGCAAGTCAAAGACTGATGTGGCTTTGCAATCTCAGTCGAGTAAGGAAAAGAAAAACAATGAAAAATAGAGAGAAGGCAAAGGCAGAGGAAACCATCAAGAAGGTAGTTCATTAAATCAGAGACAATATTCAAACCAAGGAAATCATAGAGGTGATGGTGTAAATAGAGGAAGAGGTGGTGGAAGAAAACATGATAAAAGATATATTCATGGCTACAATTGTCAAAAGCATGACCATTATGCAAGCCAACTTTGAGGAGGAAAGAAAGATCAAGAAAGTGATGCAAAGCTTGAAGAAGACAAACTGATGCTAATAATCACACAAAAAGAAGAAGAAAGATTCAAAGATCAATGGTATTTTGACTCAGGCTATTTGTGCACATGATTAGAAGAAAAGATTGGTTTATCAACCTTAGTCCCTCGTTGAAGAACAAGGTAAAATATGCAAACACAACACCCTATCCGCTGAAGGTATTTGTGATGTTCTGATCAAGCAAAGCAACACAAGAATTACTTTATCAAGGATGCAAGAAGTAAGTCGAAATCTACTTTCGAGATATTTTAAGAAGACAAGTGTGGTCTTTTCCTGGTAGATTCACTTGGAACTAACAATTACTTTATTACATTTATTGATGATTACAACAGAAAGATGTAGACCTACTTAATCAAGAAGAAAAGTTATGTAATCTATGTTTTCACCAAGTTCAAAGCAATAGTCAGATAACAAAGTGGTCATAAGAGTAAGGTTCTAAGGACAGATAGAGGTGGAGAGTACGCGTCGAATGATTTCGATGCACTATATACAGAAGAAGGACTTGTGCATGAGGTATTGCCACCATAAACTCCTCAACAAAATGGTACTGCTGAAAGAAAGAATATAACCATTATGAATATGGTGAGAAGTATGTTAAAAGGAAATTATCTTCTAAATGAGCTATGAGGCAAGGTTGTGTCGACTGCAACATACATACTAAACAAATGTCCGATAAAGAGGCTTGAAAGTGTCACACCAGAAGAATGTTGGTCTAGTGTCAAACCTAGTTTAAGCCACTTGAAAGTTGATAGGTTCTTTCCGTAAGTATACTGAACGTATCAGAGTAATATAAAGAGTGTCAAACCCATACAGACCTAATGGTCAATCTATTATTTTCTGTTGCTGCGATGTTTATCTAAGGAAGTCGGAAATGAGAATAAGAATAGGAAAAACAGACTAAAATAATAAACTTGAATTAATTCAGGAATGTAATATTCGAATGCGGCTCTCATTGATCAATGATACTCTTATTATTCCTAAGTTGAACTACTTATGGGACAATATGTTCTTTCTTGAAAAATGATTTATTAAAAAGGAATCGTCGCTCTCGCGTATTCAGAACCAGATTTTGCTCTCTAATATATATTTTTCGCTCTCACATTCCCGGTGCACTTAATATAATTTCCAAGTAATTTCAAATCCCTTTTCAATTCTATCTATAATTCTGACTGCTTTATTTAGTTGTTGTTGCTTGCTTAATTCAATTGCATATTTTATAGAATAGGATTGATTTATTCCGATTAACGTATGTTTTGTTAATCATAATCGCATTTGCTTAATTCGTGTTTATGTTATCTGTTTTCTTAATTAGGATTTAGGAACATAAATTATATATTAGTTTCGATCACGCTTGTTATTGTTACTATAATTGAAAGGGAATGGGATTCACTTAGGGCTTGGGAATTATGTGATCGATGATAAGTTGGAGAAAGAACAACATATTAGCTTATTTTATAATCACTTATTTTAATCACTTATTAGAAACCTAAACCCCCCCCCCCTAAATTATTTATTTAGCAGTTAATTTTGCCAAGAGTCCTTGCGATATGACATCCGAGTGTCGCTTCCCATTACTATTTTTTCTAAACTCATTTTTGACCTGTGTGTGACAGCGGATCACTCAACCTATCCCTCAGTTAACTTAACTCACTTAATTAATAGGGTTAATACTCAATCAACATGTAAAATAAATTATATTAAGCTCGATTAAGTTCTAATAAAGTCAATCATAGAAAGTTCAACACACACATTTAGATGGTTTTTTTCGGTTGTAACTTGACTTATGTGA